CACGGTTTACACAAATGAGGGCGGTTTTCATATGATCACTCCTATATATATATATAAGATTACGGGTGGGTTCAAATAAAAACCACTCAATTTGTAAAAACCGTGAAAACCTCATTCAATCAATCATAATTTTTTATTTTGTTCATTTTTTTGTAATTATGAGAGGTTGATTAACTATTTTTATTGTGGATGGTGTTAATCATGAATATTATCATCTTCGTTATTTTAATTTTAGAGAAATAAATGAAACAGTTTCATTAAAATTTCATTAAGTAGTATATGAAATAATTTCATAACCACATATGAAACAACTTCATCAAAAAAAATATTATATGAAACAATTTCACAAGATTAACAATTTCATGAAAAAATTTCATAAGATTAACGACGGATGAAAGTAGTTTTTACGGTTTTTACAAATTGGAGTGGTTTTCATTTGATCGCTCCTCTATAAGATAATATATATAGAGTTTGTTTCAAATACAACATATCGCATTTGTACAACCAATGCAACCCAATAAATTGAAATATTTATGGAAATGATAAGAGTTCATTTATTATGATTTAAATATTTATAAAAGATGAATATGGTTCATTAATTATAATCAATATTTTATATTAAAAAACAATCAAAACTTTTATGAAATAACATATCAATCAAATCAAATTAACGGTTGAGATTGGATTGTACAAATGTCAAAGATTGTATAATAATCGATCTCTATCTATATATATATATATATATATATATAACGTATATTAATATTTATAAATTGTATTTTAATATTTATAAAAGGAGGACGACAAAGACTTTTTGGCTTGTGATCCAAGAAAGAAATTTGGTTCAAAAGTTGAAACCGCGAAAAAAGAAATGTATATAAATAAATAAAAAGCTTTTTCATGCTCATGCTCATGCTCATGCTCATGCTCATGCTCATGCTCATGCACACGGACCAAAACTTTAAAAACTTTCCGTTAGCACATGAAACCGGAAAGCCGTTTACACAGAACCGGTTTCCGGTCAACACCCCCGTATGAATGCGTCGACCAAAAGCCATCATTTACGGCGACGCTCACATGTCACCCTACACGTCACCAGTCAAACCCAGCCGGTGGAAGACCCAAATGTGTCCAAACTAAACCCCTCTTTCAATCGCCCTCCAATTCAATTTCAATTTCAATTTCAATTTCAATTTCAATTTCAATTTCAATTTCAATTTCAATTTTAATTAAATACAATACTTTAATTCAATTTCAATTTTATATAAACATAAACATAAATATAAATATAATACAATAATATTCTTAATTTTAATATTTAAAACTTGGAATTATTAAGACGATTAAACAGCTGTAGTGGATCGACAAACGTACATGTATTCTAGAAATACGTTTGGCTAAGTCAACTCTCCATCCATTATAATCATCAAACATATATTTTAATTTATTAAAATGAATTTTTATAATTAAAAATTATTATATAATGAAAATAAAACATTTACATGTTGACCAACCATATCTAGTCATTACTACATGATTTTGCATTTGACTTCCACCCATCTAACATTTAATATTATCGTACTATATAAATTTAAACAATGTTAATCGTATCAATGAAGAATGAATTACACCAACAAACTCATCATCCATAAAATATTCATCAAAGTTAGATAATTATTTGTCTTTTAATTTCCGGACCTGAATATTGTGGATGTAATGACATCTGAGTCAACTCAAAAGAGAAATGGTTAAAAGACCAATTTAAATGAGAAAAATGATCATTTGAACTAATTTCTTCTGATAAATCAATTTTAACTTCTTGGATACATCGAAAGTGGTTTGACTCTTACTTGATCATATACAACTCAGTATCTCTACATATAATGACTATGTATGTATATATGTATAGAGAGGTTCAGTAAAGAAGTGATTATGGTCCTTCATACAGTTAAGATTGGTCAAAAATTACGGTTTTGACTGGTTAAAGATTGCGACTTTTATTGGTCAAAATTTGTGTCTTAACTGGTCAAGTGAAAAATAGAGGGGTAATTTTGTAACTTTTACAAATAGACGGCAAACAAGTGCATATGTGAACTCATAAATGTATATATGAACTCATAGTTCATGTGAATCAGTTAATTAGTTCATATAAGAATTACACGGATTCATGTGTGAATCAGATAATTAGTTCATATGTGAATCACACAAGTTCATATATGAATTGCACGAGTTTACATAAAAACATTTAGTTCATATGTGAATCACATGGGATTCACATATACACGTGTTTTGCCACCTATTCCTAAAAGTTGCGAAACTACTTATCTATCTTTTACATAACATGCGAGGAATTATTTGGTACTTCACAGTCAAAAGTGCAAATCTTGACCAGATGAAGAGCTAATATCATTTCTCTATTTTTGAAATGAACCTATGGGTTTATATATATATATATATATATATATATATATATATATATATATATATACACATACACAAATATATATAGGCATAAGATCATATGAGAAGAGTTAAGGTGAAAAAGTAAGAAATGATCTAGATTCTTGATCACTTTTAATCTCAAACTCACCCATGAATCACGGTTGATATAGGGATTGATCTGATGCATCTCATTCTAATATGGATCCAATGATGGAGATCACTTCTTACGCTTCTCACCTTCATTGCTCTTCTTATTAGAACCCAACTATATATATATATATATATATATATATATATAAAGATTCAAATGAGAACGCTAACTATTTAAGAAAACAAGAAAAATACCGTTAATATACAAAATCACATGTGATTTTACATTAACGTCAAAAACTGGAAGTAAACAACTTTTGAACCTGTATGATTTTATACGTAAATATATGTGTGTGTGTGTGAATCATGTATGATTTTATACATTAATGCTATTTTTTGTTTTATTAAATAGTTAAAATTCTCATTTAAAAATATATATATATATATATATATATATATTATATTTGTGCAAAAAGATTTTCATCTGGTGGTCAATTTCAATTTAGTAAGAGTAAAGGGGTATCATGTGGCAGTTAAGCAAACTTTAAATTCCATAACAAGTTTCTCTCTCTCTCTCTCTCTCTCTCTCTCTCTCTACTGCATAGATACACAAAAGGCCTCTTCACACTATAAACTCAAAAGCAAACCACACTCTTCACATCTCTCTCTCTCTCTCTCTAGCCTACAGATGAAGAATCTACGCCTTTGATGAGTTTATATATGGTTTAGAGGGTTAGAGAACAACAAAGAGAATTCAAAGTAGATGGCAAATTCAGCGTTTTCCGATCAGATTCCGTCGTCGTCTGTGTACGGTGGTGGTGGTGGTGGTGGTTTGTTTGACATTCCTCAAGGATACTCGTACTTGGACATGTTGGGTTTCCAGCAGGACTACGGTGGTGCTTCTTCTCTTTTTGATTTGCTTCAGCAGCCTTCTTCGGTGGTAGAGGCACCAGCACCGCCGGAGACTTCAGAGGTGGTCAACACTCCGACGACAATTTCCTCATCCCTATCATCTTCTTCAAACGACCATCTGAATGATGTTGATCAAGAGAATAACAACACAAGATCAGATGATGATCAACAAAAATCTGCTGATAAACAGTAACAACCAACTCTTTTTTCAATTATTCCCCTTCCCCCCCCCCCCCCCCAACACACACACTTGAGGTGTTTTCTGCGTTTTCTTGGGTATTTTTTGTTTTTTGAAAAGTAATTGTAGATTTGGTGCAAAACCCATCATCTATAACCATTTGCACAGACGAATATGCAAAGTGCTGTCTGTGTTTTTTTCAAGAATCTTTCATTTCTTGATCAAAATGAATGGAAACTCAACTCATTGTTTCCTGCACACACACACACACCTGTTTTTTTTTTTGGGTGTAATCTTTCTATTCAGATTAGGTGAATTTGTGATTAAAAAAAGCTTTTTTGTTTATATTACACATACATGCAGTTTTTTCACTGTATTTTTCATATAAAAAAACGCCTTTTCACACGCATACACACACAGGTGTGTGTGATACAAAGGATTTTGACGATCTTTTGATCATTTTTATAGTTAAAAACGCAAAGATATGATGATATATTTTTCTTGAATTTTATTTTTTACAGATTAATTTATAAATAAATTATGGTTTATAATGAATTATGACGTGGGCATTAATTATGATTGTGTGTAAATATAGGTTGAAAGCCAAAAAGAAAAACCCAAAGAAACAAAGGGAACCGAGATTTGCGTTCATGACAAAGACTGAAGTTGATCACTTAGATGATGGATATAGATGGAGAAAGTACGGCCAAAAAGCTGTCAAAAACAGCCCTTTTCCTAGGTACATCCCACCCCAGATATATGCGTGTTATATTTGTGTGTGTGTCTGTATATATATACATATATATATATATATATAT